AAAAAAAAAAAAAAAAGAGGGTTATTTATAAGTTTAAATAAATCTCACAAATTAATTTAGAGTAGATAACTATATTTTACATGGGAGATTATGAAGTGCGGAAGATTGTGAGATGCATACACGCCTTCTTTCACTCATAATTGTTCTTCCAAATCCTAATTTTTTGTAGATCAATGGTAACTTACACCACTTTATTTAAGTAGGTGGTGGCTTTGATTTTTTCCAATCATTAATACTTAATTTTTTAAATTTATTTTTGAAATTTTAAGTTAGGTGTCAACAATATTTAAAATAAAATAAAATATTTACTAAAATTTACACTTGAATAAAAACTAATGAAAATTTAATAAAATGTTGTTTACTACTCTATTAGTTCTAAAGTAATTGTCATTGATTTTGAATTTGCCCCAAATTAATTGTAATTTTTTTTCAATTTTCTTCCTTTTTTTAACATAAATAAATATTTTTTTCTACTTTTAATTCTATCATTATCATTTTACTCTTGTTATTATCTAATTACAAAAGATGTATCTTTATCTTTTATTTTCTTTTTAAAGATTATATAGTAAATACATAAATTATTCTTAAATATTTAATTTAAAGAAAAACTAAAAAAAAAGTTATTTTTGGACAAAGAGAATATAATTTAAAATAAAAATAAAAAAATAAAATTAATTTATTTCATGACCATTGTTTTTTTTAATGAAAATTTTAATTAAAAAAATTCAACATTTAAAAATAGTCAAAAGTACAATAATGTAAATAATGAGAACCATAACTAGGAATGACAATTTGTTCCGATCTCCGTGAGGCCTGCGAGAATGGGACAGGAAGGAATATTTTTTTTCGCAGGGTCGGGACGGGGGGCATTTTTCCCCCGTGAAATTTCTCAAGTAATTTTCCTCATTCTGAAAAGCCCCGCAGGGATCCCCATCCCTGCAAAAAATTAAAAAGAAAATATAAATTAATTTCATTTTAAATTTAATATAATTTTAAAATCCAAACCCCAATTCAATAAAATTTAACCCAATCCAACTCAATCTAGCCCAACCCAATCCTTTTAACCCTAAGTAGCCTTATTCATTTCTCCATTTCTCCAATGATTGCCTCTGCCTCTCATTCTCAGACTCTCTCACACTCACTTAAGTCATCTTCCACCTTCCCTTTTGGCCCTCCCCTTCAAGTCTCAATCCCTAAATCCCTCAATCCCTTCATTGCCACCCTTTTACCCTTCTCTATTTCACATCGCACCCTTCTGCCTTGAACTGGAGTCTGGATTGCTGCTGTCAAACCAAATCCGTCTGAGACTGTTGTTGCGCCACTGCTACTGTTGCTATTGCACCATGGCTGCTATTGTGCCACTACTCTGCAACTGCTGTGCCATCACTCCGCCACTGATGCGCCACTGCTCCCCACGGCTGCTACTGTGCCACTGTTGTTGTTGTTGCTCAAAGTCGAAGTGGAAGTACATATTTAGATATTTTGATGGGGAATGGGGACGGGAACGAAGAGGAACTTCTCAATCATGCAGGACCCCGTTGACATCCCTAACTATAACCAGTGAATCAATTGAGTTACTCACAGTTTACCTTAGCATACAAGGGAAATGACATGATGATTGAAGTCTTGAAGTTGTTGCTTTATGTTTTTGGCTATTTTTTGTTAGGGTGTTTGTGACTTGACTTTTATTTCTGTTTCTATTTTTTCTATTTTATTTATTAAAAATTATTATTCTTATGTTGATATTAAATTATTACCTATTAAATAGTTTAATTTATACTAGATAAAATTTTAGTTATACAAATACATATAACATATCAATCAAGTAACTTGAGTAAATAAATTAGATAAATAATTCTAAATCTTTATATATTTTACTTGACTTAATAATTATAATAATATTCTTTTCATACTCATTATTTACTCAATTTTCCCACAGTTTAGCTACAGTACTTAACCCCAAGGAACGGGTGGCATACTTACAGGTAATAGGTTTCACCTCTACCTTACAGGTCCAGTCCAACCCAAGGAAGAACTTGTAAAAGGCGTTGGCCCAATCACACCGAAGAAATGGTTGAGATTTTAACAAGTAGCTAAAACCCAGCTCAACCCAACGGAAGTTTTTCTCTTTTTGGTACATCAACGGAAAATCTTTTGCGCAGAAGGATTACTCTGTTAATTTCTAGGGTTTTTACCAGGAACTTCCATTTCTTTTTCTCTTACTCTGCCGTTTCAATTCGTTTCGGCGCCCGTTTCATTCTCTACTTAGGGTGTGTGGGATTTACTTGGAACTGAAAATTTGTGTGGATTTTCTTCACAATGAAGAGAACAATGCCGTGGAGTGATGAGGCTGATCTTATCTCTTCTGATGAATCTTCTTCAGAGGCAGAGGTGGATGTTAATGATGGAGCCAGTAGTTCGCCTACTGAGCAGCCACCCCAAGAATTATCCCCTTAAGGTACTTTCAAGACTTAGGTTTTATTTCGCTTTTGTTTGTACTTACAAATTTCTCAAAATTCTTTCTGGGGTCATCTCCTCTTGTTGTCTTGCTCTTAGCAAGAAAGCAAGATTTGACTGTAACAATGATAATAGTTTCTAACAAGGTAATTAGTTGCTTTATAATGTGGGATTTTAGATACAATTACAGTCTTATCTTTAGTTTTACAAGAAGTTTGGTGGCTCGTTGTGAGAATTGTAATTGTTTGGACAGGAAGCAAATACACTAATGGCAGCGGGTGCTTTAGCTGTATAATTGGCTATTTCTAGTGCAATTGGCTGAAGGAACAGATAACCTATCTTGTTCTTATGTAGTATTGACTAGCAATGTAATAGGTGTTGAATTATAGACTTGTTTTAGGAAGTTGTCTGAAATGGGTAAGGGTTGTGTTTGATTCACTGAAGTGTAATATGAAGTTTTAATTTGATTGATTCTCGTAGAATTAAATAATAGCATTCTTTCATGGAAGAATTGTTCTTGTTTTGCTTGCTTTTGCTAGTGCTAGATATTGGGTTTAAAATCAAACTAGATGGGTGAGTTAATGTTGCCTGAAGTTTCTCTGAACAGGTACGTTGATGAAAACGGCAGAATTGTGTCAGGAGTATATGAAGGAAGTGCCTATCCCACCACAGCGGGGCTCTATCATTCCATTTACATCATGGATGGGATTAGGTAGATCGATCAAGCAATTATATGGCCAACCCTTGCCTTACCTCACCAACATTCTCCTAAAACAGTGGGACCAACTGAGATTTGGAAGTGAGGATGAAGACACGCCTCTGGATATCATCGTTCATCCTTGTAAAGCTGAAGCCACCATCTGGCTCCTTGAAGAAGCCCATCGGTGCACCACATCTTCCCATCACATAGCTAAACTCTGGCAGTCAGATCCAATGCATGATGCTTTTGTTGATCCCATCTTCCCTGAGTTGTGATGTTTCATATGTTCACTTCCAACCCTGTTTGCTGATTCTGTGCAATGTTTCTTACAACTCAATGGAACCTTGAAGCT